TCCTGTGTGCGCTGTGCACACTCCCTCCTAGAGATCAAATAACCGAATGGAGAAGAAACTGCGTTCCAGCACAGAGGAACACAAGAGCTGCCAAGGCGGATCAGACCCAGGGCCCATCTAGCTCGACACCCTGCCTCTGACAGCAGCCAACACCAGGACGCTTTGGGGAAGGTAAAACATGCCGCAGCAAGCAGCTGTCATGTACGTCCACCCCCATCACAGTTTCCTCCTCGTCTACAATAGTCAGCTTTCATCTTAAATGGTGAAGCAGGATGATTTTCTGCTCCATTCCCAAACTCTTCCTTCTTCCTCCATCCCACTAACGATGACCATTCAGAGTACTGGTGTTAGCCATACAAATGTCCCAATCCCCCTCTGAAGCTTTGTTAATTCTTTGGATTTAATGATATCCTGTCACCAGGAGTCCCATAAATCCCTGAAAGAAGAAAATAGCCAACACCTCCAGAATGCCCATATAAATGAAGCTCTGCACCTTTCAAGCACTCGTTCAAGGGCACTTTGCTTCTGAGGATGGCAGTCTCGCGACAACTGATCTAGGGATCATCCCGTTTACGTGCACCCTTGCTGAGGAGCAGCAGGGAGAATGAGGCGGCATGTGTACTTGTGGTGGAAAGGGAAGGCTGGGGTGTTTCAGTATTTAACACAAAACACACACCTGGCTGCCCAGTCATCAGCTTTTGGCTTCCTCAACAAGACTCTCTACAAGGGTAGGGGAGTAATGAGAGAGCTTTGAAAAAAAATGAGAAGTTTTCTTTGTCCTCTTTAAAAGGATGTTTGATGACCCTTTCACCTGTGTTTTACTCCTCTCTTTCTTTCTTTTGACCGGGCCTGCTTGTTCTTTCTTCTCTGTGCAGGTGGTGAGAGATGGTGCTTTAGTTTGCAGAGCAATTAAAGAAAAAGAAAAGTATCGCATGTTTGGACCCAATGTGTAATTACCACGCGACAAACAATGCTTGTAGTGGAAGCACAGTGATAAATGCTGTTAAAAGGAATTGTTTAGTGACTCTGCTGCTATTATTTCAGGCTGGATTTCAGAGGTGAGGCAATAGCTTTTATTAGACTAATGTGAGAGGGGTCAGGCAAGCTTTTGGGCACCAAGGGCCCTTCATCAGGTTCATTATCTAAAGCTTCCATTCAACAATTAAAAAAAAAAGTGCTTTTAAAAAAAAAAATAGGCCAAATTCTGCTCTCTACTATGTCAGTATAAATCCAGAATAAGCCTGTGGAAAGTAACAGTATTATCCTGAATTAATGCTGATGTATGATGAATTTAAGTCTATTTTCATTATTCCTCCCCCCCCGGGCCTTTAAAATTCTAATATATTCTCTCTCCTCCTCCCTTACAAAGTTACTAAGGACGCAAGCTTCCACACGCAAGAACAATTGTTGCTCGGTGCAACGCTGACAGTTTTGCAGGGTCTTTACTTTCCAGATGCTCCAATTTTGAAATCTGGAGTCTGAGCCGTGACTGACCTGTGTAAAGTTGCCTGCTCTCCCTGACCCGCAATTATACGATCCATGTGCAAATGAGCTTTAAAGTCACTCTGATGCCATTTGTTCCAACACCTTTCCCCGCAGCTCCCTGCACAAACTACCTACTGTATCTCGAGCCTGTCTGTACTACATACAATGGGACGCAGAGCTGGAGGAGGAGGAGGAGGAATGCTGTCTAAAAAAGGCACATAACAGCAGAAAAAGTAGCCGGAACGGAGTAGCGACATCACGGGAACAGAGAGAAGCATTGTCACAGGCCGAGTAATCCTGTGACACGCTGCTGTCAGTCATCGCTTGGCTCCCTGCTGGGCCAGCAAGACATCAAAGCCCGCCCCATACCATCTTACATGCTCTTTATCGGCTAATCAGGCTATTCTTCCTGAAATAAAGCCCTGTTAAATCCCCGGCTCACAGGGGCATTCCCGTCCTGTTGCCCATCTGCTGGTGAGGGTCAGCTGAAGCAGGAGGCAGAGTACTGGCCTATCCCTGGTGGCTTCTCAAAGCAAGGACAATGCTGTCTCCAACTTTTTTTTTTTTAAACCCCCTCCTCTGCTGCTGCTTTTTTTTTTTTCTTCCCGGGTGCTGTGCAGGAGCTGGAGATGTCACAGGCCTACGACCGGTCTGTGGATTAGCGTGATAATTGAACAGCTCACACTTGCTAACAGCATTTGCAGCAACAATTATACAAAAAAGTCCAATCGGACTGAAATGAGAGAGAGAGAAAGACTTGCCTTCTCTTTAAATTAAAGGAGCAACGTTAAAGGCAACTGCCTATTGCGAAGGAGTTGTGTTGTGGATACCGAGCAGGAGAGAGGCTCCCCGTCTTCCCTGTTTCAAAACTGAGGGGTCCTGTTTTTTTTGTATGAGCAAAGTGCTTGGGGTCTCTCTTTCATGCCAAGTCAAAGACAGCCTCGTGGGCCTTGGGTCCTCTAAACACTGAGCCCAGAATGGCTTCAGTTGGTCATATGAGAATTGAAGCTTCCCCAATTTAGCCCCTGTCTATACCCAAAAGTTGTCCTGCCCCAACTAAGCCGATACAATCTCGGTGGCAGCAGCAGTGAGAATCCTCATAGCACGACCGAGAGGGAAACTGTGAAAGATGATGAACAGTAGGAACTGCAGTGTACAGCACTGCTCTGGACCTTGCTCAATAATAACTGGTCCACATTACTAACCGCAAGAACCTCCTACCCCTGAGCATGGCCAAGTCTGCTACAGTTATTTAAAGCTCTCTCACACTTCTCTGAAGCAGGGTAGTGTCTTCATCACTGTCCTCATTTTACCACCTGACTTGGAGAAATTTAGGCCCAAATTTTCAGATCTGGTGGCTAGAGGCTCAGCTGGTGTTAATGGGCGTAGGACTAGAGATGCCCAGTGACACTGCACACTTACACCACTAGCTGTTTGGCTCTGGGTGCCGGACATAACACACGCAAATGCATTTGTAAGGCACTTAGGTAGCCCGACCACCAGCTGACTGAATTCGGTGGGCCCCGTGGGTATTCAGTGCTGCTGAGAATCAGTCAGTTATTGAGATGCCTAAGGGCATGTCTACCCTACCTCTGTGCCGTGCCAGGATCACTGCAGCAAGGCATGGCCCCTTCAACTTGCTCCTTCCCAGCACATGCCAATGCCTGATGATGAGACAGAAAAGATACCTTACAGCAGTGGTGAAAGCACACCCAGGACTACTTTCAGGCTCTCTGTCTTCGACGTGTGTCTTGGCACATGTTCTGCACCGGCCTAATGCAGGTGCATTTCTTAGGAGGTGAGCACTGAGATGGCATAGATATGTCCTGACTTTTGCCACATCCTCGAAGCCCAAGTCCTGCAGCAGCACAGCAGTGAACAGAACTTGAAAGTCCAAAATCCCAACCTACTGGTTTGAAGATAATGATGACAATGACATGTTCTTTGCCTTAACGACTCGAGGTCCAGGCCCTGTCATGCTGGATGCTGTACATACATGTAAAAAACAGGCAGCTGTCAAAGAGCTTGCAATTTAAGTTGAGATAGGCAGTAGACAGGAAAGATGGGAGGAGCACTAGGTAGCAGTGAGACAGGTGGGATAAGCATTAGACAGAGGACACCAGATGCCTACCATTTGATAGGCATCATGGCACAAAAAGGTTTCAACGTGAGTTAAAGGCTGCTGTATTTTGTTTTTCTTTGCAGGGATGGAGTTCCACACAGAAAGACCATGAGTGCTTGTTGGAAAAACCTGCAAAGAAGCAATCCTCGGTGTCGTGGGCAGAATGGCAGCAGGAGTCTATAGCACAGAAGAAGTGAGTAAGCCAGGCAGAGATAGGGCATGAAGGACCCTATAGAGTGAAGTCAAGTATTTTGCGCTTGATGCTACTATGAAAAAAGGGGTTGAAAAGATGAGCCAGGAAGATGCTTTCTGCAGCAGTCATACTGACTAGATTTGAGGTGGAAGGAGATTGTATTTGCCCAGGCCAGAGAGGCAGAGGATGCAGCAGCAGAGCACCGAGGTCAACAAATGCTAACATGACCATGCATGGCATGGCTAAGACGGTCACTCCTCAAACTCTAAGAAGCAGAGGCGTCTGCCTCCCTCCTCTCCCCTTGGTGCCTGTGCTCTTCTAGAGAACATGGTGTACCAAACCCCAGCAGCCCGATGAAACAATGGGAACGGACTATATTCAAGTAGGTCAGGGGAGACACTCCAGGACAATTATTTCTGAGCTTGTGGAAAAGCCCTGGGCTCAACTCCCGAATGCCAGGAGGATTAACTTGAGAAGGGGCAATCTGGAATACCGTGCTTGCACTGTACGAAAAGGGACATGCAAAGCAGAGCGACTGCTCCACACAACCTGGTGATCTGGGAATGCCTTCCAAGGAGTGCTTCAAATGGATCCTATTCTCTCCCGCACGCAGTCAGGAGTATGTGGCCGTGTCCTAGAGAAGGCGACCCTGGATGCAGAATAGTCCTGTGAACCTGACATGGGGAGACACGAGACAACAGCTCCTCAGCACAGGCTGGCTCTGAGCAGGGACAGATGTAGCTCTTGGGGTCTCAATTCCATGTAAGCAAGCGCATTGGGGGGAACAATAAAGGGCCCGGCCCTGGAGTTCAGCTTCTCAGCAGGTGGCCAAAGGCCAGGGTGCCACCTATTCACTGAGAGACCCCAGCAGTGCTACCAGGTTACCTAACAGCCTACTTAAGTCCTCAAAGGTGTCTCTGAAAACTAGTAACAGGAAATTATTTTTCTAGGAGCAACTCACTGGAAATGAGGTTTGGATAGTAAATCAGAAACCCAGACCCCAGCCAAGATGGCTGTTACCAAAGCACAAGTAAATGAAGCAAGATCCAAATGCCAGCCCTCTCGACTCAACACAGCTTTCACTCCCCCACTCCTAAGCTTTCAACCCCGACCTTTATCCCGGTTTTCAGATCCCTCAGCAGAAAGCACACAATGCAGCACTCGGTGCATGACCCTCGCTTTGCAGAGGAGCCTTCCTACCTTTGTGGCTTGAGTTTAGTTTTCTTCTTGGAGCTGGCAGCCATGGAGGTACTGAGGTTCTGGGGAGCGTCTCTCAGGCCAAAGGTCTTGGCAACATGACCCAGATGGAGGGCTTTGATGTGGAAGATGTGCTTTAGGCTCTTGGGGTAGGTGGTATATGCACGAAGGAAAGACTGCAGGGCTGGGGAGAGACGGAGAACAAGAGAAAGAGAGCACCATGTTATTTTTGTTGCGCTTTGGATTTGGAGCATTCAGCTGTTCTGGCTAGAAGGATGTTGTCTGGGCATGCGGGACATCCTTTCATCAGCGGTTGCTGGGAATGTTCAGCACATTGAAGACATGGGAAGGTTGTGACTGGAGTGATCCGAGAGGAAAAAGGCTGGGGAGAGGGATCAGGAGCTGGTTTTATGCAACTTTACTTCTCCCAAATGCGGTCCCTTTTTGTCAGGTGAGGTGGGGCTCTTAGCCCTGCTCATGACTTGAGGTGTTGACTTCAGCGGCTAGCAGACCAGACAGGGAAAGAAAGGGAGGTGGGAAGGATGAAGAGAGGATGTGCAGGGGTCAGGTGTGTGGGGGAGGGAGGAAGAGTCCTTTGATACCATAATCCCAGGAGCCCATGAATTTTTCACCAGTTTTCAGCTAGTCCCTTGTAAGTAAGTATCTGAAAGACGGGTGGGTTTCTGGTCTCGCCACCATGCTGAGAACAGAGCTCGCCTTTTCAAAAGGGGAAAGATAATAGCCTGTATATTTCCTCCATCTCTTTACCCCAGTAAGTGCCTTCCTTAGGGCCCACTGCTCCGAAGAGGAGAACGCGCTCATGGCTACACAGCAGCCGCCCCTGCACCTATCCCACAATGCCAGCTGCAAGCATCAGGCTGCAGTCATTTCCTCTTCGCTTTGGGGAAAAAAGGAGGAATGTTAGGAAGAAAATTCTTCCACTATCACTCAAATGCGCTCCCTAAAACCTTCCTGCTACTGCTCTGCTCACAACGTCTCCCATTCCCACCTCCCACTCTGACCAGTGCCTGCACCTCCCTCTTGTACCCCTGACAGCAGCAAGCTCTACACTCTAACCTCCCCTGCCCTTGCTTGTTGAGCCACTGGACCAGCAAGTTTGCCCACAGCTTAAGTCTAATCGCTCAGCAGCAGCAGGAGATTGGAGTTTATGAACAGTAATAAAAATGTCATTTTACCAGATCAGCTCCTGGAAGGACCCTGGGAATCCATCAAAGCTCTGTTTACTGAGTAAAGCGAACTCCTTTTCCCAATCGATGCGAAGACAATAAGGCAAGTCCTTTGCACCCCTCTCCTACTTTTGTGCTGCGAGTCTTTCAGGGACGTCCAAACAACGAGGGACCAGTGTTTTCCAAGAGAATGCTTAGCGCTGCCCATGCCCCCATCCTGCTGGAGAAGGCGCCTACACGAACCACGACCCAGCTAAAACGTTCATAAAATTGCAAAGCTTTGTTCTCGCTCTGTAAAGTTACCGTGACAAAGGACAGGATTGCTCTAAGCAGGTATCATTCTTGGGAAAAGAGAGCTGTGCCCATTCTGCATTTGGCCCACTGGCTATTTCACTCCCATAAAGCTGTCGAGTCCTCTTTCGCAGCATGTCAACAGCCTGGATCCCAAGCACCCTGCTCTTACAAGGGCTCAGTGCACTTCCAACAGTTCTGCAGGGGCAAGAGGCTGCCAGTATCCCGGTGGAACAGAAATGTTGGTGGCTAGCTGGTATCAGTGTCTTTCACGGGGCCTTTCCAGAGGCCAGACCCAATAATACTGACAACCCAAAACTTCTAAAAACCAGGACCCCTCCCATCTACCCCGAAATCATGAGATGGGCTTAAATAGAAACAGTCAACACAGGCTAGATGTTCAGCTATCATAACCTGCCGGCGGTCTGAAAACATCCCTCTGTGAGAGGTGAATGGACACCCTTGGATGTGGGTTATCTTTGTCTTCTGGCTTTTTAACCCGGAAGGGGGCACTGAAGATATGCTTCCCAGCTTTACTCTGCTGTCACAAAGACTAGAAATTGAAAGCTGGTTTTCAGTGGACTCTGAGAATCTCTTCTAATCCCAGGGCTCCAGGAGCTGGGGCTTTAAGAAGAAAACACTGAATATCATGAGAGCTGGCAGCACTGCTATCAAGGCAGCACCTCAAAAGGTGTGGAACGGCGTTGCCTCTAAGCTGCGTGGCGTGCGCAGCCGTGCCTGGCAGCGTGGCATGAGCGCGCCTGCGCACGCCACGCAGCTTAGAGGCAACGCTGGTGTGGAAGAAAAGGCCTGGGGGAGATTCTGCTCCTCGTCAGGCCAGTGAAAGCTTAAGGTAATTTGATTTTGGCAGAGGCCAGGTTTGCACCTGTGTAAAATTTGGCCCCTTGTTCTCAACACCCGTGTCTTTCTTTTCCTCCTGGCGTGGAAGCTGGAGAGGAAATGTAGCATGTGGGACAAATATTAGTCCTGCTGTTTAATGGAGGACTAGGAGATACTCAAGTGCTAGAGAGAAGGGAGGTATCAAAGCAAAGATGGAGAAGAACAGCAATGCCCAGCTCTGGATGCTAAACCCTGAGCCTGGCCTTAACTGACCTGCTATGCAGGTGGAGAAAGCTTCAGTGGGACTGGCAGTCCCAACCAGTCCTGCTGCCCCTGACAAGAGCAGCCTGCCGGCTGTGGGGTAGGGGCAAGCACAAATAGGAAGACAGTAGTGAAGCACCTTATACAGGCTCCCTATAATGACCTTTCATCTCTCCTGACACACATGAGGAGACGAGGGGAGGGGTGCAACACTCCATCATTGACTGCAAGATGGAAATCTTGAAGGGGAAAAGCAATGCTCTCATCCTCCTCTGTAATCACGAAGGTGTTGGCCAGTAAATGCAATCTGTCCGGCATTTCTTGTGGTTGCCTTAATGTAAAATTGGAGTCTGGAGAGGCCCCAGCCACCTTCAAGTCTCACAGGAGCAGAGGGTGCTGAGCATTTCCCCAGATGAGGCTCAGCGCCCACGTGATCACTTCCTGAGATACTTATTCCTCCCCCCTGCCTTAGCCAGTGGCTGACTGATCTATCGTTTGAACCGCAACATCTTCACCGAGGTGTTTTTCAGCTTCAAGAAGACAGGGCCAAGGGAGGATGTGAGGGGTGGGTGGGCAGGGAGCCATGCTCCGCTTGCAAGCAGCCTGCCATCAAGCACTGGTTATTAACATTGACTAGGTCAGAGAATGCAAAAAAGGGAAACAATTGCATCCCTGGCACTGTTTCCAATTGATTGTCTGCCATGAAGGCAAGAGCCAGCTGCCATGTTAATTATTCATGATTCTCGGCTGGGAAGGGGAGGAAGAAGGGAGTTTAGAGAAGCCAGTCAGTGGTGGAAAGATTTGCATATGCATATAGCAGAATAAGGAGGGGGGGGGGTAGCCCTTGGACAAGGCAAAAGGCATATGCATCATGTTTAAACGTTTCACGACTCTGCTTGCATTTCCTCACAGCGGTCATTAAGAGTTCACAGCTTCCAGGCTCCGTGATCAGAACGTGCACGTGCACACACAAGAGTCACAGCGCGTGCACACAGACACAGGCAGGGGACTGAACACAACCAAGCCCGTTTAATGGTTTCCTTTTGTCACAGCGTATTTCCAATAGCATGGTCTAGAGGATGAGCATGGCAGCAGGAGCCCTGACACCTGAACTCTGTATTCCCCTTCCTTCTGCTGCCTGATGAGTGACTTTGTCCAAGCCACAAAACTGCTCTGAGCCTCAGTTTCCCCAACTGTATCCTGGGAACAACAGTATCTCCCTACCACATGGAACTGCCGGTAAGTTCAGCAGCGTAAGCCTGAGGATTTGACTAGTGAGTGAGAACTATCTAATGTCTCAAGGTTTTTGTATGTGCTGAGCCCCTTACAAACTGTGTGTGTTAAAACCACAGCATCAAACATGCAGTGCACAGCAACACACAATGGCAAGGCTCAGCTATTATGCTTTGCAAGTCTCTGGCACCTTCCATCTTTGGAGCTCCAAGTACTTTGTAATCACTGTTAAGTTAAGCCTTGTAGCCCCGCTGCGAGGAAGACAAGAATTAAGGGAGAAAATGAGGCAAAGAGAAGTTAAAAGATGCGTCTCACGTCACCCACCAGGCTGGCTGCGGAGGCAGCAACAGACCCCACGGTCCTGGCTTCCAGTCCTTTGCTCTAACCACTTGCACTGACATGCCAATAGAAATGCGCAGACACGGTGAGGGTAGGCTGACAGACTCTCACACAAGCTCCTTCATTCACTATGGAACGACCCAAGTAGTAGGGTATTTAGGAAACAGCATCTCTCTCTTGGGAACAGATCCAGCCACTTGTCTGGAACCGAACACAACACTTGAAACCTGAATACCTGATACACTGGGAGCAACCTTCGCTCCCCCAGTTCATGCTGTTATGGCGTGATACTCCCTAGTCACTTTTTTTGTTGTTATTCCTTAAACCTGAATGACCTTGTCATACAGATGATACCATCCATTAGAGAAATGCTTAACCTTTTGTTTATAATTGCACACTGTATTATTTATAGCATAATGAGCATGCACCATCTTTTAAGAAGGGTGAGTCAAATTGAGAGTCAAGTTCATCATAAGGAGTGAGCCTATAAAGAACCAGTGAGAGGGTCTGAAGAGCTGAAGTCAATGGGAATCCTACCTCAGGGGTGGCCAAATTACGACACAGATGCTACAAGTGGCACGGGCAGCCTGTGTATGTGACATGCAGCAGATCAGGAAAGGGGCAAGGAGCAAAACAGCAGATAAGGCAGGAAGCAGAAAGCAGAGCAGCAGATCAGGCAGAGGAAAGGGATCAGAGTTGCACTCAGGGAGGATACAGGGCATATTTGTGGCATGCCTGTCAAAAAGTTTGCCCCCTCCTTGCTGACCTGATCTAGGATAGTAGGATTTGGTCCACACCTGAATGATGGGGATGGGAAGATATTGATTGGTGGGTGAAGTAAAATGGAAGGAAAAGATTCAAAGAAAAAGGACCCTAGGATTATATTCACCCCACGGCACAGGTGGTGCAGCTTCTCAAGCGCACAGTTCACTTCTTGTGAGCACAGTGTTAAGTCAACACCAAAACTCAAGGTTCTGGACTTCAAAAGTATGCTCCGTGTTAGATCAGGGGAAAAGTCCGTCATCTGCCCTTGGATGGAGTCTGCACAACAGGTATTTGGTTTCTGTGTGCTCCTTCCTTGGCAGCTCAGACAGGCTGGGAGGGCTGTGCTTGTACAAGAGGCCTGGGTCTGTACTTTCTCACCTTCTTGGCTACTACCAGGAGGCAGATTCAGTTTAATACCTCTCGCTGCTCCCAAGGAAAATTTCTCCCAGAGCAAATGAAATCCCTTCTCCCTCTACCCTGTTCCCAGACTAGATGGAGATGATTACGGCTCGCTATGCTGCTCTGCGCCGCGCTCTAGACGTTCTGCCCGACTAAAGCTGCGGATGAAATGGAAGATCTGAACCTAATTACAACTGTTAAAAAAATCTATCAGCTCTTCTCTTCCCTGCCTTTTTTTTTTTTTGATCTCGGTGCTCTCTCCCTGCGCCGCCTGCTCCACCCCCACACTCAAGAGTCAGCTCATCAAGTAAAAAGTGCATCCCTTAGTTCAGGGCGGCTCACAAGGGGTTTCGTTGGGCCAAATGTATCACTGGTGTGAACCAAATGGGTTCAATGGGGTTACAGCAGGATGAGGTTGGCATGTTGTCTTCAGTGCAACATGCCGTATACTCAGCCACTCCTGGGACTGGGTCAGAGCCCCCTAGGCATACAAATCCTAATGAAAGCCTAGATTAAAACTCATTTGCGCGTCATACGAAAAAGAAAGAAATTAACATTTAACATTGGCAGAAATCCTCCTGCCTCTGTGTCACCCCCCCGCCCAAAGCCTCTGCCCCCAAAATGTTCCTGTCGGGCCTGGCCCCCCGGAGAGCACCTCGTCGGGGAGGTGCCCTGGCAGCTTGCGGTAGCCATTGAGGAAGAGGGTAAAAACAAGCCCACTGACCTTTCTTTGCCCACCGGACCTTTTCTCCGCTGGAGTGCACGTAATTTTCAAATTCCGTCTGCAAGACCGTTGCCCGCTCCCGCACTTCCTGGGGGTTTGTGCCACGGGATTTCTGGGAGGGCGGTGGGAGGATTAGAGGAAAGACAGAACTTGAGGCAGGAATAATGAAGCAGTTTAGAATAGATTTAATAACAGTAAAATCACACAGTAACCACCCAGGGGCCAACAAGGGTAATCCTCTCAATATTACTAGGGAAAAAAAAAAATGTATAGATAAAGATGTTAAAGTCAAAGCAACCAGCGAGCGCTGCTTTGTGAGGGGAACAAATCCGTTTTAATTTTGTGTTTTCTAACGCCTATCGCGTATTATTTTCCTCCCCCGTCCCCTGGTCGCAACCGCTCTGCACTCATGGGGCCAGATTCTAGGTCTGAAGTTTCACCAGAATCAGTGTGGAATAACTCCAGGGTTATCGCCAGCTGACTTCGCTGGGCCCAGTTTTCTCTTGAGAGTTTAAGAAAGGTAGTATTTGAATTTTTATTTATTTATTTAGCTTTAATATTTTTACGTTCAATCTGTGCAAGCTTAGTCCTACATGGGAAAAATAATGTTCCCCACTAGTCTATTCTTTCCCTCTCCACATCAAATTCCTTGCTCTTGCTGATCTTCCTCTGCTTACACACGGTTCTTAATCCTCATTCATTTCTGGGGACCCTCCGTCCAAGCTGCTCTCACCTACTCTTCTCTTCCTCTCCCACTGTCTCAGAGCTCTGGAACGATCGCCTCCTTCCAGCATCGTAGGTGCCTTCCTCTTCTCCCAAACCTTCCCTCCTTCCTAAAGGCTACTTGTGCAACCATGTCTGTGCTTCCCCACACAGGACCTGCCGTCCCACTTGCTGCACCTCGGTCTGATGCAAGGTTTTTTGCACTCTTTCTGTTCTTGCAAGGGGGAGATAACGCTTGTGCGTACATCTCCAAAATGCAAACCAGAAAAGACCAAATTCCCTACAGGAAACGTGAGATGCGAAGCTGATTTAAAAACGGAGTCACTGATGTTCACAGGTGGGATGCGTGCTGCTCACCGTGAACAATTACTACTGCAAAAAAAATAATCTCCTGGGGTACTAACAGAGGAAGCCAAGTTCTGCAGATCTTCCAGGGGGTGAGCTTTGGAAGTGTTGAGTGCTGATAACTCCCAGGAAAGGGATTGTGTGTGTGCTCAGCCCCTCTCAGGATCAGGCCATAAGAGAGAAGCTCAAGGGAAGGGAAAGCAAAGAGATATTCTGGGGGAAGGAAAGAGAAACGATCCCTGGAAGTGGATAGGGGAAGATGGAGAGAGTGGGGTTATCCTGGCTGGCAGAAAAGCATGATAGCAGCATTTATACCTGGCTGAGACCCCTGGTTGTCTATGCTTCCCTTCCATAGCATTCAGTCCTCAATGGCTCCTCTGGGAGCTTGAATCCAAATCTAATCCATTAGGTCCATGAGACCGATCGCATGATTTTATCACAGACTGTGACACCTTCCCCTCAACTACGCATCTCAACAAGAGGGGAAGGTTCCCATCGCTCCACTCTGGGCCCACGTCACAGCAGCATCCTCCAGCCAAGAGGAAGAAACCAGAGAGTCACTTGTGAGCTGGATTCGCTAC